AAAAATTTCAGACTATTTTATTAGGAGGTATCAAGTATAAGAAATCCACCATTAGAAACCAGTAAGTTTTCCAAAAATGAAATTTTGCATGAATGGGACCCCAAAAGGGGTTAAATACAGATAAAAATGGTGGATTTTGTCAGCTGGCAAGCAAAACCCAGTAGCCATTAACTAGTCAACGTAATGTTTTGCTACACCACTTTCACTTTTCATACATTTCACACACATTTCAGTAATTTTCTTATTCATTTCACTCATTTCATTATTGAAATACTCTGCTGCATATATGCTTGTATCTAGTTGTCCTTCCCAAGCCAGATATATAAAGTTGTACTGACTGAAGTCTATTGTTTCTCAGATCTACTTTCAGAAGAGAAAAAGATAAAAGGGGTATCAAATATAACAAAATCCACAACTTTTTAATTGACTGGTTTTGAGAAATCCACACTTACAAAATCCACCTTTGCAGTGACCAAAAAAACCTATTTCTTTGGTCAGGGGCGTATCAAATATAGCATAAATCCACCCATTATTTGAGCCCAAAATGGACATCTCTCCTGAATTTCAAATTTACAATTCAATTTAAACTGCAACCATCCCCAATCCTCCATGATTCAAACCCCACTCACCCCACTGCTTCTGCTTGCAACTCACCTCAACATCTCCTCATAACTCACCCCTGCAAATCACTACTTATCAAGCCAAGTCAGATCAATTGCTTAGTTCAAGGTATTTATCTTCAACTGAACCAAAGTATGCTTTAATAGCCTCGAAAATTTCTTCTTTTTCCACTAAATGCACCAAAAGCTTCCAGAATCCCAAAAATACAATTTCTTAAAGAAAAAGAGGGCCAATCCCAAAAATACACAATCAAAGAAGAAGAAGAAGGGGTATCAAATATAACCAAATACACCATTATTCAATTGACTGGTTTGGAAAAATCCACTATTTTTTAAACATGTTGGTTCTTCATTTAACCCCTTTTGGGGCCCATTGATGCAAAAAAAAATTTGGGAAAAGTGACTGGTTTCTAATGGTGGATTTCCTATATTTGATACCCCCTAATGATGAACTTGGTTCATCCCAAGTTCATCTAAAAATAGAGGACTATGAAATCATCATTGACTGGCTCAGAGACAAGAAGAACTATCTTTCATGTTTTGGTGATGGTAAGGTGCCTGCAATTGGACAAGGACCAAAGGCAATGATAAACAGTTACGAGTTGATGGCAATTCACCTCTGAAATGTTTCTCCAACTAAAATCAATCTGACCCCCCAATAGATGAAAGATTTTTCAAGTCATACAAGGACAAGTATAAGAAAGCTCATAAAAATCATTCTCAACTGGCTTTGGTGACTCTGACCCCAGCTGATTGGAAGGCTTGAATAACAACAATTGCGGATAAACTTGAAAATACGTGTGCTCTGTACCCTGAAATGGACAAAATATTTGGTAACTGGCCTCAACGCTGCCACAGATACGATACACTGTGTGTATCATGGAGAATTCTGCAAAGCTGCATGGCCAAAAACCAAATTTGTTGAATCTCCTTGCAAATAAAAGCGGGTGCGTGAATTTTACAAACCTTGATTTACAAGGTATAACCCTTGTAAAATCAATGCCTTGGAATTGTACGGTATGAAGGGGCATACACCACAGGTCGCGAGCAACGTTGGGCCCGCATCGAGCATTGCGTCGGCCCCACTCGTCCGACCCCGCCCAAAAAATTGGCTTGGCTGAGAGCGGGGGGTGTTGGCCGCCGCCGTCAGCCCAACCTGTAATGTGGGATTCTCGTCGGACTATGTCGTGGGCATGGCTGTGACGGCAGAATCCCGCCGGATCATGACGAGGGCAGGCATGGGGAAGCCATCGTTGGCTTCACCCTACTGTGTCCTGATTGTCGGCCAGCTTTTGTTGGGATGTTAGCAATGTGTATACAGGAGCTTGTCGTCGACAAGCTCTTGTTGGGATACCAGTAACAAGTACACAGAAGCTTGTTGTCGACAAGCTCTTGTTGGGAGACCAGTAATAAGTATACAAGAGCTTGCCATCGGCAAGCTCCTGTCGGGAGGCCAACAAGCAGACATGAGCTTGTCGTTGGTTAGCTCTTGTTGGGATAACAGCAACAGGTATACAGGAGCTTGTTGTTGGCAAGCTCCTGTTGTGATGGCCCCGATGTGGGACTTAGAATCCGGTTGAAACACAACCGGATTCACGATTTAGAAGGTAAAAAAATATTGGATTCAAATGGGTGAATCCAATGTCTTTTGAAGACTAGTCGACTCAAGGATAGCAGTAGATGTACATACAACATGATAGAGAGAGATAAGAGGATAAGAAACAAGTGAGAAAAAAAAAACGAGCAGACAAAAGAAACGAGGAAAAAGACGATCAAGAGATAAGAGACGATGATCGATCGAGAAGGGACGATCAATTGAGAAGTGATTGAAAACAACCGATCCTTTCTTTGCTTGGTGAGATTGACATTGATGAGAGAGAGGGATAAGATCAAGTGGAATGGTTCACCACCATCCCAGCAGCCATTGCAGCTTGCACGTCATCGAGAGTGGGCACAACACACTCATCCTTAGTAATTTGGTTGATGTGCCTCTTGTGCGAAAAAAGCTGGTCGTCTTTGTCCATCACAAGCTGTGCATGGCTGAAGTTGGGAGAAGAAGGAATGGTTCTGGATGGTGAGTACACATAGCAACCAGTTCAAAAAGCAAAAATTCATAGGAAAACGACTTACACTTGTTGAAATTCTTTTGAAGAAGCTCGGAGGACTCGTAATCGGTCATCGATTGCAGTCCACTGAGAGTCGTTGTCTTGTTTATTCTTGTAGTAGTGTATCATGACCAAGCGAGCATAGGTCATTCGGATTTGCATAGGCTGATTCAAAGAAACTTGGCTGTCAATTTGTTGCCGGCTCATCTTCTTGTCGTTGGGTGGAAGATCGGCGTAAATCTGAAGGATGAAAGAAATGATGTTGGTGCAATAACAATAGGTATGTAAATGAGAATGAAAAAGTGGATACTGCCAAGAGAAAGCATCTCGTTTAAGGCAGGAACACTTCCCTTGGCAGTGGTCTTGAGCCTTTTCGAGTATGTTTTTTACATGCTGAAAGAACAAGGGCAGTGAGGTTTGCTTATCAGAGCAAGCATAGTTTAACTAGACTGCCAGTTCACGTAGATGACTTCTTTGTACTTGATGAGATCGCAATAGTGGTTCGGTAGTGCTTGAGGCCCTCCTCTGAATTGGGCTGCAACTGGGAAGGGTCGAAGTGATCCTCCTTCCAATTGTTAGGCTGTTTATCAACTGCATCCTGCAGGGGGGTGAACGATTGATGATCAGTAACAGAAAAAGAAGGTAAGCCCAAGCAACCTACAAGGACAAGGTAGAATAGCATTCTTGCCAGGACCTCATGTTTGTGGGGGTTGTTTGAGTAGGCCTCCAGGTTTGGGATCAGGAGGATCATTTGAGTTCTCATCCTGACAAATTCCTAACAGTTGGTAGCCAGGGACACGTCAGTGATTCTTTGAGACAGACAATAGATTATGTGAGAACTGAATACTCACCCTGAATGTTGAATCATACAAATGATTAGCAACATTTACAAGAGATCTAGTCACTCTGAGTTGATTAAAAGCTCCCATGGCAAAAACAGAGGAGGCATGTTTGGCACCTGCGTTGGGAGGGTACTGGTGGGAAAGGAAGCAGTCCGGGTCAAATGATTCAGCAAAGGGGGGGGGTCGGAGGAAGCAACAGTGATTGATTGATGAAAAATATCCACAGACCTTTGCCGCAATAGTCGCAATCTTCAAGTGTTCGGGATCAAGCTCAAGCTTTGCCTGTAAATCATTACAGATTGTATCGATTTTGTTTGGAGATTGTGGAGTTCGATCGGTCATGGGAACATCAACAAGAGTCGGCAAAGGAGTAATGCCAAACAGGATATTGTGATTGACTTCTTCCAAGTTCTCGCTGGAAGGGTCATCTTGGCCTGTAGGGGGAGATGGAACAGGTTCGAGGTCAGGGTAGCCTTCTGGGAATGTGGTTTCTGAGGTATCGGCATCCCGAAAGACAATGTTTGACATTTCCATGTCAATCAAAAGGGATGGAGGGGATCAGAGGTCAAGAGTCAAGATTTATGGATGGTTTCAGTACAGCGTGGTGGTTTGAAAGGTGGGGAGGAAAAGGGGAGGGAATTCAAAAATATGATGATGAAGGAGAATTTGATGATGTGACGGAAGCAAGGATGAGGATAAATGAACTTATATATTTTTTTCAGTGGAGTCCGATTGAGATTGGAGGAGATGGAAAAAAGGGCAAAATGGTCAATTGAGGTAACTGCCAAAAAGAATACATATTGTTAAAAAAAGTAAGACCGACCAACTCATCCAATCTTGATCCATCCACCAGCTCGAGTTAGGAGATAAACCGCCTTGAAAAATCTACAGAACAAATCAGGAGGGAATATGGACATGGACTATAAGTGTGAGTCCAAAGGTGTTTTTTCAAAAAAAATAAAGTGAAGAAGCTGACCGTTTGCATTGGATGAGAAGATTTCCTTGCGAGACAAACTGAGAATGGGACGGCTTACTTATGTGTGCTGTGTATGGGCAACACAACTGCTAATCAGCGCCAACATTGCTGCAATGACCGGCACCAAATCCTAGTACAAGCCAAAAAAGACCGGGTCGATCGCATCGCCTCTTGGAGGGCCGAAAACCAAGCTTCAGGCGAGTTGGCTTCCGTAGTTGATGAGGGAATCACTCAACTGGACGTGATGGTCGATCAGAACCGAGAAACTTGTGTCGATGGATTTGAGTCGGATCCGGATGAGAATGAACTTGTACCTGAACCGGAAATCGTCCCGCTTGATATCTTCGAGGAGGAAGAGTCGGAAATCGATGACAGAGATGAGGACGCTCTCTGGATGTCTTTCATCAACAATGCTGTTGGTCAGATTTCGTCAGAACCGGATGTGTTGTATGGTACCGATCCTTTGCCCTTGTTCCGCATCGAAGAAGAAAACATCAATAATGTAACTACAGATAACTCGGCCTGGTTTCCATTCCTGAATAAAGAAGTTAGCATGCTTCCAAATATCAGTATGTTGAATAGAGATAAACAAAACTGACATAAATAAACCAACTCATTCTAGTACTTGATTGCCTCACTGCTGGTCGGGTACTTACATAAACTGATTTCTAGGGATCTTTATCATCAATTCCGACTTGTCCCCACCCTTTGCCACATCAAACTCCCTCGATGGGAGGCCGTGAGACGCATGCGAGCCAACATTTGATCCATGAGCAATCACTCTATTATTCAAAAGGAATCAGTCTTCGGTCAGCCTATGTTTGGATTAGACATCAAGGAACTGATATCGGATGTGAGTACTTACTTTGTTTTGGTTCCAAATCATTTGAGACACTTTCTGATTTTGGATTGCTTGGGGTTTTCATATAAGGATCTGCGGAATCCCTTGGTAGCACCACACCTCGAATTTGTTCCAGAAGAAGCACATGGATCCAAAATCTACAAGCTTTCCCAATCTGCCAAATGGCTCAAGCACCTTGACTCAGATCTCTGAGTTCAAATGGTGGAAGAAAATAACAAACACTTTTATATATTTGAGCCGGTACAATTGAAGAATTGTGAAATCATTATTCCTATCTTCTTCCACACTGAAAATGAGAAGCTACACGCCAAATGCTACACCCCAAAAATAAAATCAAACAACAATCATTCCAAACTCAAAATACACATTGCCCACAATATTTCTTTTGATGATCCATGTTTGAAAACCCTCTCTGTTGACAAATTTTCACTGATTTATGAGGAGATTAAGTTGAATGATGGTGCCAAACTATCTGAATGCTGTGGAGACTTTATGATTGGTGAGAATTTATTGGGAAGACTCAAATTTGGAACTGTGTACTAATTTTTTCCTCTCTACCTTGACATGAATGCAGAAGAAGAGAGTGATTCAAAAATTTCCTTACCAAATCCATGGCGCAAGAAAGCTAACAAAAAAATCCTCAGACACGTCCCAATCAACTTATACTGTGACGACACATCTGGAAATAAATCTAAAAAATGGAATAAACACATTTGTTACTACTTTACACTTTCTGGCTTGCCACCCAAAATTTCCAATCAGCAATTCAACTGTCATTTTCTTTGCACTTCCAACATTGCGGGCCCTTTGGAACTAGGAAAAATGGTTGTTGAACAGTTAAAGTATATTCTTTTTTCTCACTACTCCGAATTCTTCCGGGGGTTTTTTTTTC